AACTTACAAATAGTAAACAAATACTGTGTTAAGTGATTCTTTCACATCCAGGATCCCAAAACCAAAATTAGCCCAGACATCCGATATAAATGTAACAGGTACATCTTTGATTACTGGTAATGTTGGCCCTGTATCCCTGTCCGCCTTTTCTGTTTTAAATTGGCACTAGGGCAACGCAGTGCGCATGTCAGTGCAACTCTGCCCCCAGAAGTAATTGTAAAACCTCAAAACTTTATTGTCCTCGCATAGACATAGGGAGAAAATCTCATTATGTCACGTTGCTGCATTGATGCGGAATCATGCACGGCTGAATCGCGATGCATCTTAGAATCTGTCATTTTTCCCACCTTTAGTATGCTGTGTGGTTGAGCAGAGCTCAAAGAGCATCTTCTTTGATGTCTCAATCCAGTCAGAGTCAAATGTGTTGACGGCCAACAGGACAATCTCATCGTGGCTTAGTCTTTAGTTTCACAGAAATAAAGTGTAGAAATTCATCTACCACAATGATTTTACCATCCGTAGTTGTATATATATATCTGGTTTTAGACGAGGTTTAGCAAACACAGAAGCTCCAGATGAGCGAGCTGCTCCTGCCACGTCAGCCATACAGGGTAGCGTTGTGTTTCGTGCTCCTTCGTGTGTTACATAGTCACAACACAATCACAAAATCAAACAAAAAGCGAGAGGAGAGAAGAAAAAAAGTCCTGCTAAGCTATGGCTCACCAATAATATTAGCTAGGGTCATCTTGAGTAACTATATTAATCCTTAAATAGTAAGACTGCTGTCATCTGTCTGTCTGTCCGTCCATCCATCCATCTCTGTCTGAACGCCACAGACCTCTAATCTGTAACGTTAAACCAAATTAGCATTTTAACAGGTTAAAACTGGACCAACAAAACGGAAGAGCTTTAGCTAATAATGACTGGCAAGGCAGCTGTATTTGTGTAGCACATTACAACAGCATAAAACCGACCAAAGTGCTTCACAGAAAAATAAACAATGATGAACAAGAATCTGCTTCTAGACCTGCAGAAAGAGACAAGAAAAAAAAATGGGACACAACAACAATACAACAAGATCAAGCTATCACTGCGTCAACTTGATGAAGAAATATATAATCAACATTGTTTAACTGAACAGTCACACAATAATAAATCACAGTGCATTAAGTGCCCACCATAGCCTTAAGACCTGTGTTGAACGTGCCCAAGAGTGTGAGGGGCCACAGATCTGCCCCCTAAAGATGTGCAGGAGACGGAGGGAGCTCCAAGTCCCAGAGATCCAGGAGCTGCCCCAGAACACAGGAACCCCAGGGAGACTGCGACCAGAAAAGCCCCCGCTCCCCTCGAGAGGCGCAGAGGGACAATTCCATACCTCAGAGAAGGGATGGAAAGAGAGGCCAATGCTTTCTTCACCGCAGTAAAAGTTTTTTGCCTCTTGAGTAATTCAAGCGAGACATCTGGGAAAAAACATTATTTTCTGATTGTCCAAAAGTATGGTACCTTTAAGTCATGCTGCGTTCATTATCCGTGTTTTGTTAACATAATTCAGAAGTTTCCCCATCATCACACGGGTTTGAGTAGCTTGTCGGGGGTCGGACGCTCCAGCTCCTACTGTTTCACCAACAAGTCCCGGCCCACTCCTTTTTTAAAAATTCTATAAAACCTTTGTCTTTAAGCAGTGATGTATTAAACCTCCAGTTTTTGCTCGGTGGGATTATCTTCTTATTTACCAGAGTTAAAGAAACAGGAGCATGGTCGCTGAGAACTATGGGGTGTATCTCAGTATCTGAAATGTCAGCCAACAATGAGCTGCTGACTGGAAAAAAATCCAAATGTGAATGAGAGTTATGGACGTGTGAGAAAAAAGTATACTTTCTACGGTTAGGATGAAGATATCGCCATGCATCACAAAGCCCATAATCATTCATGTACTGTTTAAATATATTAGTGGATTGCCAATTGCGCTGAGTCCCAGCTGTACTGAGCCTGTCTGTTAAAGTATCCATCCAAAAATTAAAATCACCTCCAAGTATAAGTGGACAGTCCAAGTGTTTGGAGAGTGCAGAGAAAAAAATGAAAGAATGAAGGGTCATCAATATTTGGACAGTAAATGCTGACGATACATAAGCTTTGATTCTGTACAGATATTTTTAACATTATAAATCTACCCTCTGGATCAGAGACTGTTTCCAATACTGTGAAATTGATGTTTTTGTGTATTAAAATAGCTACACCTCTTTGCCTAGAGTTATAGCAGGCAGAGAACATGCTGGGAAACTCAGGTGTTTTAAGTTCATCTGCAGATGTGGCAGATCTATGAGTCTCTTGTAATAATATTACGTCTGCTTGCATTCTCTTTAGCTGATCAAAAATCTTTATTCTTTTCTCTATGGAGCCAGCTCCATGTACGTTCCATGAGACAAACCTTAGTGCACCCATAGATGTGTGTGTGAGTAGCTAAAATATGGCGCCTTCATGTGAATGAGATGGAATGAGTACTTAAATGTGTAAGATAATATGTTAATAAATAACAGAAAATAAATAATAATAATAATAATAATAATAATAATGACCCAACAGTGGTTGTGGTTGTATTATGAGATTCATAAATTTTGATATTGTGCTGTAGATTTAATATGTGTGTGTGTGTGTGTGTATGCGCATGTGCGCGTGCTTAAGCTGACGCAGTGTTGGAAAGTTGCGTGGTTGTGCCATACAGATGTAAAGGTCCAGACGCAGATAAAAAGAGGAAAGGAAATAATTATAAAGATTAAAGAAGAACTAAAAAGAAAAGGTGGTAGGGTTGTGAGATGGTGACGAACAGGTGATCTCATCTAGAACACGGATCTAGCAGCTATTTAATCCTGATGTGCTCAAACCCAGTGAATCCTGATAAGAATAATAAATGTGTGACCTGATGTTGGGCAAATACAGCCAGTCTGTCACTCCTCACACCTTGTAGAGTTTGTTGTCCACATAAAGCTTATCCACAGAGATGACAGCCCTTTTCACATCCTGGATAAACTTTTTGCGCATCGGGGAGAGGACTCGGTGCCGATCCAGGATTTCCTTAGAAAACTGGTCATTCACGCTGAAGTCTTTTCCTTTGAGCTTTCTTCCGTGGCTTTTAACAAGATCCTTCTGCTTAAGATATTCAAATTTAGCCACGATGGGACAAGGTCTTCTGCTGTCCACTCTTTTAGCTCCAAGGCGATGCACCCGGTGAAAGGTGATGTTTTGTACCGTTTCTCCGGGTATGTTTATTTATTTAGCAGACGCTTTTGTCCAAAGCGACTTACAAGTGATAATCGGCATGTAGCCCTTGAGGCTAAAAACAACAACTTGACATCAATCATGGAGAGGAGGGAACAAAGGAGTGGACGGTAGAGAGGGGGGACGGGTGCAGGGAGGGTGCTAGTTAAGAAGATGCTCTCTGAAGAGCAGGGTCTTCAGGAGTTTCTTGAAAATTGAAAACCAATACCTTCATTTGGGTCTGGAGAAAGTTCTTGACTGTTTGTTTGCAGTTCTCCGCCCCTCCCGGCAGGCCTGCGAACGCCAAATTATCCCTCATGCTACGGGCCTGAAGGTCCAAAACCGCCTCCTTCAGAATCTTGTTGTCCTGAGTGATCCGCTTCACTCCCTCTTCCAGGGAAGAAAAAGACTCCCGCAGAGACTCGATCTCAGCAGCGAGCCGCTCAACCTTCTCCTGGCTGAATTCCAGAGATTCTCGGAGGTTCTGGAACTCCTGATGTAGAACCTCAAGCAGGTGGAGTCGCCCCTCAAATCCCAGAAGCCGTTTATCAATAGAATCTAATAATTCTAATATGTCCTTATGGGGAAATGAGGCCTCGGGTGAGTCCTGAGGACGGCTCCTCTTGGTCCTAGGTGTTTCTGTGTCAGCTGCTGATTTCTTTGGGCCCATAACAAAAACCTCAAAAACTTCATCAATATAGTTTTGGTAACTTTCTAAATTTTCTCCACTTACCTCCAGGTTGAGTGACTTACCAGATTATTTTTAGGGTTGTCAGTAAATAAATTAGGCGAAAATGTGTCTTAATTGTTTGTGGATGTCTGTTACCAAGCTGCCATCAGCATCAAACGGCCAAAATCTCCCTGGCCAAAAGCATAAATCAGCTCTCCGTCTCTCAGATCCGAATCCCTTATGCCTGTTGCCAATACAGTATCTTGAAATTGTTTGTTTAAGCTGGTGATGAGGAGACACCGAAGCTTGTGATGAGGAGACACTCACCACATGTAATCCTATGAAGCCTAGAGGAACAGGTGTCTAAACTTACCATTAAAGTTCTGTCTGTGAGATGAGATGTGAACCATCTGTGCACAGCACCAGAGAGTCCAATTTATTTTTGGCGTGTTTAAAAAAATGGTGTGGTCTACCTCAGTATGTCCCAACCCTGGTCTTCAGGGCACACTGTCCTGCATGTTTTCCATGTCTCTGCTTCAGCACACCTGATTTACATTGGCTTCTTAGGAGGACATCAAGTGCTGAAGATGCCTGTTAATCACTCATTCATTTAAGTCATGTGTGTGTCAGCAGGGAAACACTGGTGTTTAAAAACGCAACATGGAAAACATGCAGGACAGTGTGCATGGAGGACCAGGGTTGGGATACACTGGTTTACAGTATCAGAGGGAGCACTATTTATGATTCGTGCACTTTCTTGTCAGCAGAACAGTGTCTGTTTGCTGTTCATCATCATAGATTAAATCTAAGATGGAGGCATGCATTTTTACTCAAGGTTCTGATTCTGTTCCGATTCCGATAACCTCACAGGAAGTGTCCAAGCTGTTTTTGTTTTTATTAGCTTTTAATACTTTTATTGTGCTTGCTTTAATTAGGATTTACTTTTTACCTGAAATGTTTTTTCTTTTAATACCTTTGTTTTCTACAGTGCTTTTTCTTGCATGTGGTTGTTTGAAAGCTCTTTATGAAGGTGATGATGATGATGAAAATCGGATCTCTGTAATTTTGTGTGAAGGCATGTTGGCACTAGAGATGCTGGGGAGGAGGGCGCACAATGACCATCCCAACAACTTCTCCAGGAGCCCCCCTTACACAGAAGATGTCAAATGGCTGTTGGGACTAGCTTCAAGGCTAGGTGAGTTAATTTTATTGAGATTATTCTCCCACATAGTAAGAAAGCTGTTGTAGAATAGTGCTATACAAGGTGGCAACTTGTAACTGTAGCTCTGTTATGTGAGATTTTTGTTTTCTGTGATTTTCCATCTTTGTTTCTCAGATTGAAGTAATGGCTTTGAGTTTGTTCTTGTTTGAGTGCTGTGAAGCTTGGAGCATTGTTGCTGTTATTTTATTTTCTGGTCACTTTTTGTAATGTGTAGCCATTTTAAACTCAACTCAACTTTTATTTATTTAGCACTTCATGTTTCCAAAGTGCTGAACATGAATAAAAATACATTGAATAAGATTAGGGCTGAAACAAATCCTTGAAAGTTTTGAATGGTTTGATTAACTACATTTCTCAATTAACTAACTGTTTTGAGGCTTTGTTAAATGGTAAATGGCCTGTATTTGTATAGAACTTTCTTAGGGTTCTACAATCCCTCGAGGTGCTTCACAGCAAACACATTCACAAGCTAGTGGGTATACGGTAAGCTACAATGTGCCCTGAGGCGCCCAGACACAACTGCAGCATTGTCTGGTCAGAGCCGGTATTGAACCTGTAACCTTACTGGACGACCTTCCTGAGCTATTGCTGTCCCAAAATTTGTGCACCACAGTCTGAACACTTCTTACTGGCACATTACAGGGGAATCTATGTGCCGTGGAGGAAAACCAGCAAAGACCTAAACCGTTGTAAAAGGCAAAGAAACAACGAGCAGATAGGCTATTGCTGATGCTAGCGGGTAGCACGATCAATTGGGGTTCCCAAAAAAAGAAACACGATGATTGTGAAAATACGAATAACTAAACTCTACAAGTGGAAAAAAAAATCCCCACCATCTCATTAATTTGTGGATGTCTTCAGCCTGCAGTGGTATGAGGCAGAGCTGTAGTAGCTACCTGTTTGTTGCTTTTTGGCAAGCCATTGTACTATGTAATTTACAAATGCTTCTATCTTTGGAATACAATTTTAGACTGGATTATTGCTATTCCGTACATAATAAAATAGATATGTCACCATTACAGTGTTACAAATTCAAATTCAAAAATACATTATTAATCCCAGAGGAAAATTTAGTACAAATTAAATGTTAGCATTTCCAGTACTACCTAGCATGTTAATGAAATACATCAAATTCTACTGATCATAGTTTAAGTGTGTATATTTAGATTTTCAGCTTCATCTAACAATAGGGGGTGCTATAATTACTATAAATAACATTACCGCCACGGTCTGACCACTTATAAACAACCTAAGGTTCCCTGATGCCGCTTCAGCATTGTGGCAAAATTACTGCATTGTTTTGTAAAAATGGCTAGAGAGAGAGAGACGCTAACATCAAGAATGTGCAGTGCACACAGCTCTACAACAAGACCTGCTCTCAGCAAAGTAATCTTATTTTCAGGAGATCTCATTTTTCTCTAGTGTGTCCAAACCTCTTGTTAAAGGTGCATGATATAAAAATGAAGTAAGAATGTGGTCGTGTGGTCAGATTTAAGTACTGCAGTCCATTTTCAAAATGCACAAGTCACTATCTCACTCTGTCTTTTCAAACAGTACTGGGGGCCTTTAATACAATCAGCATCAACACATCAGACAGCCATCAGAGTAGAAGCCCCCGGACTAATCTTTTATGCAGTTCTCCATTCATGCACATCATGTGCATGCACTCACACAAACAATAGAACATGAAACGTGCTGAAACAAAAACAAACTTGTGAACACTGATGTTTCTTATTAGCTAAACATATTTATTTACTTTGATTAGGTGTGTGTGTGTGTGTGTGTGTGTGTGTGTGTGTGTGTGTGTGTGTGTGTGCGTGCATGCGTGCGTGCGTGCGTGCGTGCGGTGATGAATTTTATAAATGCTGTTATTTGATTGTATCTCAACCAAGGACTAGGTTTGCTAATTAGCCTCTGGCAAGAAAACCTCTGTACTAAACAATGGTTACGTTGCCCTTACGTATAACAGTGTCTTTCGTCGTCTTGATATCGTCTTTGTCAGTTTGACCTGACTTCATATTACTTTCCCAACCAGTTCCCAAAATCAACTGTTCTAGCTTTGATGAAGAGTTCTTGGAAAAACAGCCCACGAACATCATCTTGAGACCAACAAAGGATTCACAATTCAATTCTATACCATTCTTAAAGATGACCTTTTAACCTTTAAGGTCACTACAACTTTTGTTTTGAGTTTCATGGCTGTTGCCATTTAGGCATCAGCTCAAGCTTATAAATTGTTGCTTTAGAAAGTTAAAATCATATAGTGGGAAAAATCTACCTACATTTTCCTTTTCAGACACTTAGTTTTGTTTTTATGTGACTATTTTTCTGTCCTGTCTGTCTCTGATCTTACTGCATCTCCTCTCAGTCCTACAGAAAAACTGCTACCACCCTTTTGGGTGAGCCGGGCTCATGTTACTCGCGCTTTGATTGACCACTAAAATATTTCAGCTCAGCCATTAGCTCAGTAGTGCACACAAGACGAGTTTTTTTTTACCCCCGTGAGGTGGAAAATATCTAACTGGTCCGATATTCACCTCAGCGTATCGTGAGGCTGAAAATCAGTAGAGGTGTGAATCTTCACTTTTCTTTTTCTTTTCTTCACATTTGTCAAAGGTACCCATCCCTACGGCTGCCGACCAGTCCTATCTTTGAGATACTCCCAGGTCACGACAGTTTTATTGGCATCTAGCGAGACCCAAAAAGGGGTCGTGATGATTCAGCTTTTATTCTGAAAGGAACTGTTGCAGCAGGTGGAACAGCAACAAATTTTATCCAGCTTATCATCAGGTTCTTTCGGCTGAAGAGGAAAGTTACAGATTGGCCACTCCGACAACTTCTCTCGAAAGCTTTGAACAGTTTTATAATTTGGATGTTTTGATTTACGGTTGAATCAAAAAGGGACAGCTTTACCAAGCACCACAAAAACCACGCCTCGCATCAGACCTGGAAGGTTCTGAATGGATCAGTAAAAGCATTGTGTCATGTGACTTCTTACATTATGTGTGATCAGTGTCTAGTGGGAATATTTAAAGGTATATTACTTATTATATTCTATAGGATTATAATATCAAGTAATTAATATTTTCATTTCACAGATTGGTTCACATTTTATTATTGACTAACACTTTGTTTGATTAGCTTTGTTAAAAATAGAGTTCTTCTGATTTATTAAAAAGAAAGAGTCCTTTGTCTTCATTCTTCTCTTTAGCTGGAAGGGAAACAGTTTTTAGGGATGCACCGATGGATCGGCATTTGATCCCAATCAGCCGATAGCGCCCCTATCAGTTTTGATCGGAGTTTTCAAAATAGGTCAAAGTAGACCGATCAGGTAGGGTTGTCACGGTAGCCAGTGTAGCGGTAAACCCCGGTAAAAAAAGTTGACAATAATAATAACCGTCTTGTTTTAAAAAAAAAAGCTATATTATCTCGGTGGGTTTACCGTGCGGTGACCCTTACCGGCCACCGTATCATCTGCTGAATTTGCAGGCGGCACATGCACGCTTTGTTGTTTACAACCAAAACTTGAAGCTAAAGCAGAAATAATGGCCAAAGGAGGAGACGGCAGTGCTCAGGAGGACATTTTTTATCCCTCAAAGAAGACAAAGTGGGAAGTACGGGCATCTTTTGGATATTTGAAGAATGCCGAGGGATTGTTTATAGAAGACGGTTATCCTGATTGCAGCACGTGCAGAAAAAGTGTCTGTGAATGGCAGCAACGCTTCAAATCTCATGACACATCTGCGTGACCATCACCCACAACTCTACAGTCAATGCAAGGCAAGCTAACGTTAGCGTTTTAGCTAAAATGCGTGATCCGAGGATTTGGGTTGAGGGAGAATGCAACGAGTCGCTATATAAAGCAGCCGCAGCGCCGCTACCTGCATATAAACCGTGTTGCGGACACCCCCATGTTGAAATGACGCTATGCATTACGGGGCTCCCAGGGGCAGATAAGAGTTGGTCTCTCTCCGAGAATAATTATGAATTTAACAATGATTACTGCCTGATGACATTTCCCCACATCTGCAAAGCTCACTGGAAGGACACAAACCGAGGACAATATTTTCCTGATATAGGGTTTATTACTCAAGTAAGGGTAAAAAAAAGTATTTGATTAGAAGGCTACTCGAGTACTGAGTATCTGATCTAATATTTTTAAAATGATATCAAACGGACATAAAATAAGAAGTTATGGGCAAATATTGGTATTTTAAAGACTAAAGGGGAAAAATGTAAACAAATAAACAACATAATTACAAAATAACACATTTTAGGCTAAATTTAGACACAAACTGGAGACAATATTTCCTGACATACAGGGTTTATTTAATTGTGTGAAAATGTAGCACGTTTAAAAAAAATACCGCGATAATACCGTAAACCGTGGTAATTTTGGTCACAATAACCGTGGGGTTAAATTTTCACACCGTGACAACCCTAATACAGACCATTTTAGATTAGGTTACATTTCCTTTATTCCCAGATTATGTAGTTTGTAGCACTCATTATAATGTAGAAAATTTCTGGCCAATCCACATGATTGGTATCGGTGATCAGCATTCTTTGATATCGGTATCGTGATCGGCAGCAAAAAACCTGATCGGTGCATCCCTAACAGTTTTAGGAGCAAATGCATGACCTTGAGCAATATCTCATGCAGATTAGTTCTGTGTCAGAGATATCTGAGGAGAGAGGGTAAATAACCTTTGGTGGAATAGCTCTTCCATCACGTTACACAGATGATGCCATTTAACAACTTGTGAAGGCATGGGTAGTAGCAGATTAAAACAAGTGTGACCACTAGAGGGCAAAACATCTGAACAGAAAACATCCAAATTCCATCACACAGCTGTACTGCTCTTTTAAGGAATCGGAGTTATATAAATTGTCTGAACTACTAGAGTGTCTATCAGCTATCACCAGCTGGCTGGAAGATAACTTTCTTCAGTTAAACTCTGAAAAGACCGAATGTCTGATCATTGCCCCTGAGAGCATGGTTTCCCTGATTAGTCTAAAACTTGGTCATTTATCGTCTGCCGCCAAGACAAACTTGAGGAATTTGGGTTTTGTTTTTGACCCATCAATGTCTCTTGAAGGCCACTCAAGAACATTGGTCCAAAACTGTTTTTATCACTTAAGAATTATCTCCAAACTGCGAAGGTTGGTGTCAAAACATGAACTTGAAATGGTTATCAATGCTTTTATGTCCTCCCGTCTAGATTACTGTAGCACACTTTTGACATGTTTTAACAAAAAAGCCCTTGACTGCCTTCAGTTTGTCCAGAACTCTGCAGCAAGGCTCCTAACTGGAGCAAACAGAAGAGCACACCATTCCTATTCTAATGTCTCTCCACTGGTTACCCATTAACTTTAGAGTTCATTTTAGAATCCTGACTATAACCTTCAGGGCTCTACATGGTCAAGCTCCTCCCTATATTACTGTACTGAGCCTTATGCTCCAACTGGAGCCCTCAGGTCCACACACCAGAACCTTCTAGAAGTTCCAAAGACCAGATATAAAAGTCAAGGTGATTGCTCCTCCCATACTGTTGCACCCCGACTTTTGAATGATCTTCATTTATCCTTACGTAGTATATTGACAGTCTGGACACTTAAAAAACAGCTAAAGACCCTTTTATTTAAAGCTGCTTTTACCTAAATCTTATTTTCTTTTTTTTTAAACTCAAATTTGTAATAATCTTTCCATAAACCAGATTGTTTAGGAAATTATTTAATTTTATGACATAATTATTTCTGATGTTAATCTGTTTATGTTTTGAGATCATTATGATTTTATGACAGTTTTATTATGTTTTAATCTATCTGAACCACTTTGTGATTCTATGTCTGCGGTAAGAGCTATACAAATAAAATTTACTTACTTACTTACTTACTAATGTTCAACAACGCTACCACATCCACCATTATGTTTGGTGTTGTATTGTGTTGTGTTCTTGTGTCATGTAAAAATCACCTAGCACTACTTTTGTGTTTTGTATAGGGTCTCCCCTTGTCTATGACATGCCCAGATGTTAGAGCCATTTCTTAGTTGTAAAGGAAAAAACCATGCAAGCAGTTAAAACGCAGACTCAAGTTGAGCAATTTTGAGTAGCAGAAATGCTTTCCGAGAACCTGCTTGAACCAGATGGATTGAATCTTTGGAGAAACTTAAATGAACTAATTTGCTTTTTCAGTAAAGGTTACTGGGGTCACAAATATTGCTCTTTGTTCTACACCCACTATCAATTGTTATAGTCTCTTCTAATATTGTTCCCTTTTCTTTTTCTTCCTGTCAGGAGTGAACTATGTCTACCAGTTCTGTGTTGGAGCAGCAAAGGGAGTCCTCAGCCCATTTGTCCTGCAGGAGATCATCATGGAAGCTCTGCAGCGGCTAAATCCAGCTCACGTTCATGCCCATCTCCGAACACCTGCCTTCCATCAACTTGTTCAGCGCTGCCAACAGGCCTACCTTCAGGTGCAACACTTAAAATTACATTAGTTGGTTGACTGGCACAAAGTCGGGGAGAATTATTTGACCCCCTGCTGTTTTGTTATTTTGCCCACTAACAAAGAAATAATCACTCTGTAATTTCAATGGTAATATTTATTGCACAGTGACAAATAGAATAGTTAAAAAATATAACCCAAACAATACATTTTTATTTATTTAACAAATACAGACTGATCCAATACAGTAATATTGCACAGCACCAAGGTATTACATATGAGTCTCTTAATTGCTTACATTAACAGTTAACGAGTGAACTGCATGTGGTTACTTTCATCTGCTCACTCAGATTTCAGCTTGCAGCTCTCAAAGAACGCGTCGCCATTTGAATTGTACAGCTCGGATTTGAAAATTTCTAAAAGTGTGAGCGGCAGAAGGCTTTGGTGGTCATCTTTGTGAAGTTTTGTGTGTCTACAATGAATCTTTTAGAAGATATGAGAACATTTCCGCTGTTTGTGAGCCACTCAAGTCTTCTCTATAATGGAGGAAAGCTGGCACAGAAGGCAAACATTTTAGCTGTCTGAAGACGATCGGAGGAGAAAATCTGTTTCTTTAACATGTGTTTCATGTTAATAATATCAGGATCTCTCCTCCTTTTGAGGCTCGTAGCACAAAAATCGTAATACTTACAGAAAAACCAAAAACATCCCTTCGAAGGTGACATAAAACCTACTGTTTTTGAGAAAATCACTAATGTACTACCATACCATACCATACCATACCAAGTTTATTTATAAAGCACATTTAAAAACAGCATGACAGCTGACCAAAGTGTTGTACAGTAGTAATAAAAGGAAAACCCCAAGATAAAAACAAGATAAAGATCATAAAAGAGATAAAAGGGATAACCTAAAAATTTAAAAGAAACATACTAGAGTAAAAACAAAGTCATAATAAAAACATACAGTGATGCTAAAAGGTTAGCACATTTCAACAGGGAAAATTCTAAACAATAAAAGCTTGGTCATTGATCAAAAGCTAAATAATAGAAGTAGGCCTTCAGTACAGACATGAATTGACCCAGTTCTGGGGCCTGTCGAACACTAAGGGGAAGAGCATTCCAAAGTTTAGGAGCAGCGAACGCAAAAGCCCGCTCCCCACGTGATTTGTACTTCATTTTTGGGATGCACAAAAGCAAGTGATCTGCTGATCTCAGGGTTCTTGGTGGAACATAAGGCTTGAGCAGTTCTGACAGATAAGCAGGGGCTTGACCATTCAGGATGTTGTAAACAAAGGTTAAGACCTTAGACCGGGTACGATATTTAACTGGCAGCCAGTGCAAGCGTGCAAGGACAGGTGAAAGGTGACAGCATCTAGAGGTGTTTGTCAGGAATCTAGCCGCTACATTCTGTACTCTCTGAAGACGCTCAGTTGCTGAGACACTGACACCAATAAGGACTGAGTTGGCATAGTCCAAACGTGAGGTGACGAAGGCGTGAACGTGGTAGTTTGACTATTGACTTTTAACGTGAGATACGACAAAGTTGAAAGAAACAAGACCTGACTGTAGCGTTAATTTGCAAACTCATTGACAGATGAGTCAAGTTTCACTCCTAGACTGGTTACACATGTTTTCAAATTTGTAAATGGTAGAGGGACGTCACCAGGCGTATGCTTTGGATTGACTGGGTTAAAAAGAATGGCACCGGTCTTGTTTTCGTTGAGGCAAAGGAAGTTCTCCGACAGCCTGAACTACAAAAGATGTGGTTGTATGAGACAACTCTCTGTTAAAGAATCTTTAAAGAATATTGGCCCTAACTCAAGGTCACATGACTTTGTCAGTGTGGGAGACAGAAACATAATCTCAAACATTCTCTAAGAAATGAACACGACAACCAAACTTTTTGGAGTAGCTTCACAAATTATACCTCAAAATGGAGGTATGTCCGTCAGTCTCATTTTGATTGGACCTACGGTTCTCTCAGGAGAGTGCCTGAAGTGGAGCAAAGTCAGGTCAGCTAACTTATACTTTCACTCTGTAGGAGGAGGTGAAATTTCTGAACGTTTCTAAAATGTACCTAAAATGTAGACTGTGATTGTAGACAAACCGTAGAAGATATTAACCAATGGAGTCATACGGAATTAACTGAAAGTCTTGTGACTGCTTTAATGCTTGAATGAAGTCTCTAGGTTAAAGTATGCCCAACTTGTTAACGTTCAAAGAGCTGAAAGGATTTTGTGAAAAATCAGAGGATTTGAAGGATTTCCCATGTATTCCAATGGGACCAAAAATCGCAGAAAAAGCTGAATATCTCAAAAAGTATAAAGTATAGCCGGCATAAGCTGAACGATCTGAAAGGTTTTTTTTTTTGTATATGATTTATTTATAACTTTTTCCACAGTTACATCACATCCACATACCTACACACTAAAATAAAAGAAAAGAAAAGAAAAATTATTATAAAAAATAAAGAAATAAAACACTTATGCGCTGCGGTAACAAATAGGCAACCAACGTGTGGCTATGCCGGCGGTAGCTCTACAAGGCTGAGGTTAAGTGTCCATGTCGAGTGTCACAGAGGTCACATAGTCTTGGAACGGCCTCCAAATTTTGGCAAAGTCAGTTTCCGAGCCCCTCAGGATGAACCTTATTTTCTCTAGTTTCATTAAATAGAGGGCATCTTTAATCCAGCGAGAGTGGGTCAGTGGGTGAGGGTCTTTCCAACTCATCAGGATAACTCGCCTTGCCAATAACGTAAAGAAGGCAACCAGATCAGCAAAGTGAGATGGCAAGGAGTGACCAGCAGGTAGTTCCCCAAATAAAGCCGTCAGTGGGGATCGTGGAACCCTTCAAGACACAGTAAGTGAGAGTGAATTAACAGTAGAGTCCCAGAATTTTGACAGGGCAGTGCAAGTTAAAAACATATGGGTAAGATTAGCTGGACCCTGATTGCATTTTACACAGTTGGAGTCTGTACCTGGAAATATTTGAGCCAACCTGCTTCTGGACCAGTGAATCCTATGTACTACCTCACACTGAAGTATGCAGTGCCTTGCACAAATTGAGGAGGAGTGAATATGCCTTAGGGCTGATTCCCATTGGCTGTTATTAATCTCCATGTTAAGTTCCTCGGACCAAGCAACACGGAGGTGATCAGATCGCGCCACAAACATGGAGAGAAGAAAATTATAAAGTTTGGATATCGCTCCTTTCTGCAAGGATTTAATCTCCATCATATCATCTAGCATAGTGTTCACATGTACAATGGGAAAACCCATAAAATATTTTCTGATAAAGTCCCTGGCCTGCAGATACCGGAAAAAATGTGAATGTGGCAGTTGGTATTTAAGCGACAGCTGTGTAAATGAGGCCAAAACGCCATCCACAAAAAAGTCCTTCACATGGATCAGCCCGTGGCTCCTCCATACCACAAAAGTTTTATCTAACAGGGATGGAGGAAAAAGTGGATTCTGGTCAAACGGTGAGTGCAAAGGTATACCCTGGGTTTTAATATGACTCCTCATTTGAGACCAAATCTTAAGACAGTTTTTAACTACAGTATTGCTAGTGTACAAATGCGGGCTAACATTTGAAGGGAGATACAGGAGAGAGAGCAAAGAGGCAGAGTCAGTTGTGGTCTCATCCAGTCGCTGCCAAATTGGCTCTGTAGATTTGGTCTGACACCAAAATAGCATTGTATGTATATTAACAGCCCAGTATTTGTACTGAAAATTTGCAAGGGTAAGGCCCCCCAGGTCCTTACTTTTCTGTAGAAGGCTCTTGCGCATTCTGGGAGGTTTTTGTTCCATAAAAACTGCGAAATAGAACTGTCAAGAGTCTGAAAAAAACTTTGTGGAATGAACACCGGGTTGCATTGAAAGAGATACAGGCATCTTGGCAAGAAGTTCATTTTAATACAGCTAATCATTCCTGCTAAAGAAAGAGGCAGCATAGACCAGCGCTGCAAATCCTGAGCCAACTGCTCCAACAGAGGGTCAAAGTTAGTTTTAAAAAGTTTTGAGAAGTCCTTGGTTATATGGATACCCAAATATTTAAAACTTTGCGGGACAGCCTTAAAGGGCAGACTAGAAAGTGGGTATGCCGTCGCAGCTGAGTTAATCGGAAGGATCTCACTTTTATCAAAGTTAAGCTAAGTTATATCTGGATTTCTGTCCAAAGTCCCTCAGCAAAGATAGAATTGGAGACATGGAGTTATCTGGGTCCGACATAAAGATCAATAGAACATCCGCATACAACGACACTCTGTTGTCACAGCCGCCACGTTGAATGCCTTGCATGGCAAACAAACACAGATGGAGAGAGAGGGCACTTCTGGCGAGTCCCGCGACCTAGGGAGAAAGGCTTTGAGAAATAATTATTCGTACAAACTTGTGCCAATGGTGAAGTATACAATAGTTTAATCCAAGAGATAAGAGTGGGACCAAAACCAAAACGTTTTAGGGTATAAAATAAATAGGGCCACTCCACCAGGTCGAAAACCTTTTCAGCATTCATAGATATGACCAGTTCCGGAGTGTCAGATGATGAAGAGGAATACAGAATATTAAGTAAGCGTCTCACATTATGGTGTGGATGTCTGGTCCTGACGAAACCTGTTTGTTCTGGATTAATAATTGAAGGTATTACTAATTCCAAGCATCTCACCAACATTTTGGCCCAGATTTTAACATCTGCACACAGTAAAGAAATAGGGCGGTAGTTACTACAGAAGCAAGGGTCCTTACCTTTTTTTGGAATTAAGGAAATTGTAGCTTGTCGTAGGGTAAGCGGTAGGATTCCAGATTTAGCTGCCTCTTTAAACATGGCAAGCATGAGGGGGGATAATTTGTCAATAAAAGCCTTATAAAATTCCGACGGAAAACCATCGGGCCCTGGACACCTGCCACTTTGCATGGACATGATTGCAGTTTTAATTTCACCTGCAGTAAATGGTTTATCTAGGTGCACCGCAATATCTGGGGCAACTGTCGGGATCATCAGTCCATTGAAAAAGTCATCCAAATGT